TGAGGATGACCCTGAACTTCTGATCTTCCTGCTCCTACCTCCCAAGTGCTGGGATTACAAGTGTGTGAGCCAAGTTTATGAAGTGCTAGGGAATCGAACCCAAGGCCTTGCCCATGCTAGGGAAGTATTCTACCAACTAAGCCACATGGCTAGCCCTTCTCATGCACTTTAGATTGTTTACCGGCGATTTATAAAACCTAAAACAAAGGAAACACTGGGCAAATGGTTATTACACTCTCTATATAATAAGTTGGTTTTCCTAGAATATTTTCTAACCAAAATGGTTGAACCTACAGACTAAGAACCTGTCTGTGTATGAAGGCAGCCAGTGTCAATCCGGGCACTAAAGCTGAGTGTGGTGGCACATGCCTTTAATCCCAGCACTCGGGAGAGACAGAAGCAGGTGGATCTCGTGAGTTCAAGGTTAGCCTAGTCTACAGAGCAAGTTCCCGGACAGCCAGGACCACACAGAGAAACCCCGCCTTGAAAAACCAAAAAAATAAAAAAGTTATCATAATTAATAAATAAAAGATAATAAATAAGTTATAGGTAAATAAATAAGTTAATAAACACAAGTTATCATACTTAACAAATGTGTCTGATTACCTAAGAATCATGTCTGAGGTACCAGGCTGTGGCATCAGGGCATGATGCCCAAGTTCTTCAGTGAACTGTCAGGTGCTACACATGGCATGTTTCCCTGCATGTACTATCTATGGCACTCGTGTTATTTTTACTTATCTTTGTTTTAGTGACATTATTACTTATCTTTGTTTTATAGTCACTAGAGCAGCGGCATCAAAAGGGATCTGGCAAGAAGGCTCAGCAGCTAAAGGGACTTACCGCTAAACCACACGCGTTTCAGTCATGGCGCACATCTGGTCTGTACGCATGCTCAAATGCTCAAATGAATAAATCAGTATGGTTGTTGTTTTCAACATAGTTGAGAGAAGCATCCAGATTTGTTTTCTAAAGCCTGACTTCAGGGCCCTAGAGCACTCAGCCCGCGCCACACTAACGCTCAGGTTAGGAGAAAAATAGAGCAGCCCTCGGGAAGCCTTTGGGACCTCAAGAGACTTTGCCCCCACTCCTCCAACAGCTGTGCGGGCCTCAGAGGTTATCTCTCAGGTCAGTCCGTCTGGGGAAGTGAGAAAGTGTCACCCTCTGCCTGAGAAAAAAAGCACTTCTGGCCTTTCAGGAAACAGCCCTGGGACTAACTAGGGAATGTCCTTAATTAACAGAGAAGGCCGATGTGCTTGTGTCCTGAAGAGGCTACAGAGTCTTGGATCCCCTTCCGGTGGAGCAAGAGAATGCAGGAGATGGAACAAGCTTTGTCAGACAGTCCAGGGAGAAAGCCCAGATCCCCATGCAGCTGGGGGCAAATACACACAAGGAATGAGCCCTGTCTGCAGCCCAGGTCACAGAAGGGCGGGACTTGGGAAGCCTGAAAAGACTCTTCCTACAGGATACATTTGTCCAACTTTTTTTCTGACATGGGGTCTCATATATTTCATTTAGTTTGGTTACTATGTAGCTGAGGCTAGCCTGGAACCTCTGATTTTTTTGCCTCTATCCCCTGGGATTCTAAGTATTGCCTACGTTTTGTTTTGTTTTCTTTCTTACTTTCTTTCTCTTTCTTTCTTCCTTCCTTCCTTCCTTCCTTCCTTCCTTCCTTCCTCTCTCTCTCTCTCTCTCTCTCTCTCTCTCTCTCTCTCTCTCTCTCTTTCTTTCTTAAATGCTGCACATAATGTCATATGCACTTAAGAGGAAGAAGCAGAAGCAAGTGGGTCTCTCTGAGTTCAAGACCAGCCTGGTCTACATAGTGAATTCTGAGATAGTCATGACTACACAGGGAAAACTTGTCTTAAAAAGCCAGAGAGAGCCAGGCAGTGGTGGTGCATGCCTTGAATTCCAGCACTTGGGAGGCAGAGGCAGGTGGATTTCTGAGTTCGAGGCCAGCCTGGTCTACAAAGTGAGTTCCAGGACAGCCAAGGCTATACAGAGAAACCCTGTCTCGAAAAAACCAAAAAAAAAAAAAAAAAAAAAAAAAGCTAGAGAGACAGAGACATAGAGACACAGAGAGACAGAGTCAGAGACAAAGAGAAACAGAGACAGAGAGAGACACAGAGACAGAAAGACAGAGAGGGAGAGAAGAACAGAAAAAGAGGCAGAGATTGATTTGATTTATTAAAAAAATTAACACTTTTTTTTAAAAAAATGTATTTATTTTATGTATGTGAGTACACTGTCACTGTTCTCAGACATACCAGAAGAAGGCATGAGAACCCATCACAGATGGTTGTGAGCCATCATGTGGTTGCTGGGAATTGAACTCAGGACTTGTAGAAGAGTAATCAGTGCTCTAAACCACGGAGCCATCTCTCCAGCCCCGATTTATTATATGTATTTACATATTTGTGTGTGTGTGTGTGTGTGTGTGTGCCATGGCAGAGAACAAGCTGCCGGAACCAATCTCCCTTCACTACATGGGTCTCAGGGATCGAACTCAGGTCGCCAGCTTTGGCTGCAAGTGCTCTTATCCACTGAGCCATCTCATAAGCTTTCTTCTCCATCTCTTCTCAACTCTCTTTTATGGGGAAGCACCAAGAGTTGAAACATGGTCCTGAGGGATGGGTAGACCTGTCTCTCCTTCCTGATGGCTGTGTCTAGTGTCTCCTGGGCCCTCAGCACAGCACTTCTCCTCCTTAGCGTTCACTCTGTCTTGGACATGGGGTGGAATGTGAAGTGGATGGAAGCTTCCAGCACAATGGCAGATCCCTACGTCTCTCCAATATTAGCCATTGTTATTACCATTGACTTCATCTCAGTTCTTACACTTTCCATGTGCCACAGTGTGCAAGAGACACAGGATGCCGAAAGCTTAACCATCAATTTCAAGAAGCTTCTAGCCCAGTACTGAAGGTAGATCCATCACCTTTGTCATTCCTTCTCAGATCTTGGTAAGTCTGGCCCTTAGCTGCCTGGACATCCCAGGAGGTCAGAGACTGGCAACCCCGGGTTTTAGAATTTCCATCTCTTCCACATCCCTCTGCACGGCCATACTTGCTGTTCATGTTTTTATTAGTCCGAATTTCACCAAGTAGCCCTGCTGGTCTGGCACCCCACCTGCAACTCCTGGAACTTGCTATGTGGGATCAGGCTGGCCTTGAACTCACAGGAATCCTCCTGCCTCAGAGATCCTTCTGCCTCTGTCTCTCAGAGTACTGGGTTTAAAGCGTTTCCCCGCTATGTTTAGCAAGCCGTCATTGTTTGAGTCGTATACGCTAGGAAACCAGGTGCCAGCGACCTCTGGGGCGGAGCCTGCTGCAGAAGCCAGGCTCTCCTTCTTCCCCACACAGGTAAGCATCCAGATGTCTGTCTGTTTAATCCTTTCAACAGGGTTCAGAGCCTCCCAAGCACTTTAGCTTTAAGTGCATAGGAGGAGATCTCACCAGCTGTTTTACTGGGGACATACAAACTAAACCTGGCCCACCCAGGTTTCCAAAGCCTTCAGATAAGAACCCCTGGGGTGCTTGATGAATATGTAGATCACCACGCCCTCCCTCTCTCCAAATTCCACTTTTGAAGTCTGGAGGGAGCTGTGGAGTTTAACAAACCGCTCAGGAGACAGCATCCTTGGGCAAGTCCATACAAGTGCTCGGAAGCTGGGACTGGGTTCAGCTCCTACTGTTTTTACTTAGCACGCAGGAAACTATGGGTTCAATCCTCAACACCCCATAAACCGGGGCACAGCAAGAAGAACGATCAAATTTTGAGGTCGTCCTTGAACTTACAAAAGTTCAAGGCTAGCCTGGGCTACACAAGACCCTGTGCATGTGGGTGTTGATAGGACTAGAGTATGGTATTGGATGGGAGGGCAGGATAACCCAACTGGTAGGTCATCAGGATCTGCAGGGGACCTACAACCTCAGGCTCCGTGCAGCTGTTTAGAACAGCTCAGATCACGCAGGTCTGCGGGCCCCAGGGTGTCTGTCTCCACTTCTAACACCTGCTCATCTCCTAACCTGTGAAAGAGCCCAAGTGTGTAAAGTACCCAGCACATAGTAGGTGTTCAGTAAACGTTAGGCAGCTGCTAATGTGCTCCTTGGAGGCTTGAAAAGGACAGGATGGGGGTGGGGAGTCGCTAAGGAGATAGCCAGGAATAGAGGAAAACATGGGGGTGGGCGGATTTTGGGACAGGAATTAACATCTCTTTAAAGGTAATTCCAATCCCGCCTTTCCTTTTTGAAAACACAAAGCCTAGGTCGGTTCTTTCCAGTCTGCAAATTCTCTTCTTAATGGCTCCTTTCCTAAGAACTCAATCCTGTATCTAGTGTGAAAGAATGTCCACCCCTTACCCGCCTTATGCAGATGGCATATTTGTTTATGTTGAGTTTCCACACAAACAAGAAATAGGGCTGAAGACGGTTACTGTGAGAAACATCACAGACATTTCACTCCATCTTGGGCAGACAAGGTCAGCCGCCCTCAGGGAGAGCAGTGGTCTGCAGAGTGACTATGCTCTCCCAGGGCTCTGCCCCGCTGGAGGAGACGCAGCCAGCAAATGTGCAGCTCTTCCCCTACCCCTCCAAAAACTCCCATAGCAAGCAGGTAAGGGCCTGTCACCCCAAACCACCTATATTACCTAGAGCTGGGCCTTCAGCTTTCAGGAAGTATTTCCTTTGCTCCTCAGGAGGGCACCTTGGTATTTGCAACTGACGTACGTCACCAAGGGCTCTTCTCTAGAGTTTACCTTTGTTCTCCCAAATTCTCGATACCCCATAGTTACCTAGGGGCCTTGCCAGTGAAGGCTGTAGCCCAGGCTGTCCCGGTGCTACCCAGAACAGAGGACTGCCCCCTATCCCAGCACTCCCTACCTGCTTTTGGATGAACTGGAAAGAGAGGACCGCCAGGGGTCCAGAAGAGGCAGAATAAGGAAGAACCATTACTAGTTCTGGGGTTGAAGCCAGCCAGGGCTCCAACACACCTCTAGCTCAGTGAAGCTCCATTCGGAGCAGGTACTAGCCGGCCTCTGTCTCAGCAGGAAGACTTTCCGAGGTAGAGGGGCAAGGTGCGGGGCAGCCTAGACTCAGTCTCTGTATCCAAGCCCCCCGCCCCAATTTATCTGTAGTCTTTCTCAGCACATCACACCTCCCCCCAGCAGGGACTCCCCTGCCCTGCCCCTCCAGGGGGGTTATAGGTTCTTAAGGCCTCTCGGGAGGGAGGAAGGGAGGGGGCGGGGCAGCGGCGGCTCAGATATAAGGGACCCAGGCGCTGTTTGCGGGTCCAACCAGCCCACCATGAGCTCCCACAGCCTCCCTATCCTCCTTCTTCAAGCCTGCTGGGCCCTACTCCACCCGCGCGCCGCGACCGCTGCCGCTTTGCCTCTGTGGACACGGGGGCAGCCCTCGTCACCGTCCCCTCTGGCGTACATGTTGAGCCTCTACCGAGACCCGCTGCCTCGGGCGGACATCATTCGCAGCCTCCAGGCGCAAGGTAGGCTGTAAGCCTGGCCTCGCCAGCACCCAAGGGCGCACGGCCGGGAGACGCGCGGCGCTGCAGCGGGGACTGGGCATCAAGAGTCGTCCAGAGTCTGGGATTAACTACGTTTCCCTGTGGGGCAGGCTCAGGGCACAGCGTTGGTGGCCCGGTCGGAATGGAACCAGGGGCCACCGCCTTTTGGGCCGGTTCTACCTCAAATGGTAGAGGGTAAAAGGGTAGGGCGAGGGCCCGATCGCGCCACTGAGCACCTGCGAGCCTCAGTTTGCCCATCTGTCGTTTAGACATCATAAGACCTTCTTGGTAGACTTATGGCGGGGACTAGGTGACAACGCCCCAACTCCCCCAGCAACACTCTGCACGGAACCGGGCGTACAGTAAAACAAGTCGTTACTGGGTTTTATCCCAGCTGCAGTAAATGACACCAGGAACCGAGGCTCAAGGATCCGAAATTAGAGATCGGGTGTCGGAAGTCCAGAACTTAGGCGGCTCTCATGGTTGGGCGGTGTCAGGTGTCCTGGGTGACCCCAGGCTCGGAACCTGCTTGGATCGAGGTGTTCGTGTGTGTAGTTGGCCCAGTGACCTGAGTGATGCTCACCAGAGTTGGCCGACAGGTGGGTGCCCAGGAGAGGGAGTCCGGACTCAGGACTCCCTTCCCGGGAGCAATCAACATCCCGCCCCTTGGGCAGCTTGGCCAGCCCGCTCCTCTGTCCTCTGGGGCCAGACGGCCCTCCGCAGGACCCGAACGCAATCCACATCTTCTAATCCGGTCTGACCCGCCGCCCGCCGGCCCTCGCGACCTGGAGGCGGAGCCCCTAGTCCCTGCCTGCAGCGTCTAGGGTGTGACTGCCGGTGACCCTCTCCTGAAGGGTCATCTGGGGAGCAGGGAACAGGACACCCTGGAGGGCAAGGCAATGGGAAATTAGTGGAATGATAGGCCCCTCCGCCTAGGGTAGGAGAGGCAAAGCTGGAAAAACAGACCTTTCCAGTTCACTTCCCTTCTAGAAAGTTCTGGAAGGTTTGTATGGCGATGGGACAATCTGGGATGCAGAAAAACTGTTGAGGTCCATCAAATTCTGTTTTGCAGTTGCCTGAGCTCACGGCAACATCATCTTGATTTTTGTTTGCTTTTGTAAATCAGGGGACTGCTGTCTCCTGGCTTGTTGGTTTAAATATACTCGATCAACTTTAGCGTTTTAACTATTTGCCAGTGGTGTCAACGGCCTCCATTTCAGCAAAATGGCTCTACCTGGAGGGAGTCTAGAGGACAGGCATCCCAGACCACTCCCTCAGCACTTCATCTACTCCAGCATAGCGGAAGTGGGGTCTGTCAGCTCTCTGTGCCCACTTGTTCAGCTTACTCTTGTGCAAATGGCAGTACCAGGGTGTGGGAGGCAGGGGACAGTTCATGTCAAGCCTTGGCATACGGGAAGCAGAAAATGATGGCAAAGACGGAATGGTAGCTTGCCTCCTGGGCTGAAGAGATGGGCAGGCCAATGGCCTGAGTTGCAGTTCTTTTCTTTAGAATTGGAAGTGGCAAAATGTGCTAATGACTGTTGCCTAAATGCACACTCGGCACGCGAGTGGGTTTTAGGGTGTTCCTGAACCCCTTCCGCGTGCCCCATTCACATTTTATAGTTCAATGAGCTATCACTATATCGGGAGGACCCTCTATCCCAGGATGCCCTGGGAGTGGCCTGTGAGGAAGTCGTTTCTTCCTGCTCTGCCTGCACTCTGGCTATCACACTCACTGGTGAGGGTGCTTGCCAGGATCACTGCTCTCAGTCCAGGGTCTTGTGCTACCTGGCTACTACATTTCATCTCTTAGTTCTGGGCACAGGCAAGGAGAAGCTTGAGACAGGCAACCTTTGAATACTTGGGATGTGCTGGGCAAAGCATCTCTTTGAGTATTTCGGTTAATGGAAGCACAAGATATTTGAAGCCCAGAGAAGGAAAACCACCGGGCCAATGTCAGACTGGAATTCCTCAGCTCACGGGGTGGGGGTGGGGGGGACGACTCTGGCCGCTGCTTTTAGCTGTGAAGCAGGAACACCTGCCTCTGAGAGATCGTTTGCAGATCACTCACTGGCTGCTGGTACAGGGGGCGGAAGAGAGAGCATCCCACCCAGCGCCCAGGGTGTTTGGGGAGAGTCCAGAAAAGGCTGGTTATTGTCTCCCTCATTGCTAATGAGGAAGAAAGTGAAAATTAATTGAAAAGGCAGTTAGAGACAGGCAGAGGGACAGGAGTGGGGGCTGGGGGGGGGGAAGCTGCCAGAGGCTGAATTCATGTTAGCCCAAAGATACTCTGGCAGATGGTTAGAAACTAGGAACCATGCTGGAGCATCCTAGATCTCTGCTGCCTCCAGGACCACTTATCTCTAAATAACTCATACAGCTCTCTCTGGCCTCTCATTTGCTAGATTTCCCAAAGCTGACCTTGAATTCCTGGTTCTCCTGTTTTTATTTATCCCAAGGGCTGAGATTAAAGGCCTGCACCAGTACACGTGACTCTAACGCAAAGGAGAGGAAAGTAGGCTTGCCAAAAGTGAAAGATGATTTTTGTCTGTTTGTTTTTTGAGACAGGGCTTCTCTGTGTAGCCCTGGCTGTCCTGGAATACACTCTGTAGACCAGGCTGGCCTTGAACTCAGAGATCTACCTGCCTCTGCCTCCCAATTGCTGGGACTAAAGGAGTGCACCACCACTCCTGGCTCACTTTTGAGTTTCTTTTTAAATGTAAATTGGCATTCAAAAACACAGAGGAGGATGTCAGATTCTGAAGTTACAGACAGTTGTGAGCTGCCATGTAGGTGCTGGGATTTGAACCTGTGCCCTCTGGAAGAACTGGCAGTGCTCTTAACCACTGAGCCATCTCTCCAGCCACCCTACCTCCCCCCCTTTTTTTAAGGCATCATAGCATCTCCTACTGCAGCTGCAACTGGCTGCAAACCCACACCTGGTTGCTGGGACTGGAAGCATGCGTGACGACGTCCACTCAGTTAATCACTTTTTAAAAGACATCAATGCACACTAGTTCCAGATATCAGACAGATTCCATCTTGGACTAAAGTAAATGGGGTGCACTATCCCGGTATTTCTCACCAAGTGAGGGCCGCTCTGTTAGCACCTTGGGGGCAGGGTGAGCACCCTGTAGGTAGATAGGAAAGACAAGTCGGGAGTCTGAGGGCCTTATGGCTGTGGAAACAAGCGCCTGAGTCTGTAGGAGCAGGTGGGGAGAGGTTGGCCAGCCTGTTCTTTCCTCCCTGAGAAAAGTCTGGAGTAGCTGTGACGTTTACATCTACCCATAGTTTATGCTGTGCTGGGGAGCAAATCCAGGTCTTTGAGCTTTCTAGGCCAGTGCTCTGCCAGCTGAACTACGTTCTCACCTCTTCCGTTACTTTTCAAGATAGTCTTTTTTTTTAATTAATTAATTAATTAATTTATTTTACGTATGTGAGTACACTGTAGCTATCTTCAGACACACCAGAAGAGGGCATCAGATTCCACTACAGATGGTTGTGAGCCACCATGTGGTTGCTGGGATTTGAACTCAGGACCTCTGGAAGAGCAGTCAGTGCTTTTAACTGCTGAGCCATCTCTCCAGCCCCTCAAGACACAAGCTCTTGTACCTCCAAGGCCTCCATTTTCCTTCATCTCTAAAATGGACTATTTTTGAGTGCGTGTGTGTGGGTGTGGGTGTGTGTAGTCTTATCTGTATATGTATGTACACCCACACACACACCCACACAGTCTAACCCAGAATTTGAGAGGCTGAGACAGGAAGATGAGGTCCAGGATGAATATCCAGTTGAGGATAAATAATAGCAGGTTCCAATTCTGCCTTAGTATGAAACCATTTCAAAAAGCCAAAATAAATACGATGGACTCAATAATATGACAAGCCAGGGAGGTGGGGGTGGGTGGGGGGAGTGAGGGTCAGAGGTGGGTGGCAGACGCCCACCCAGCTGTGGTTAACAGAACTCTCTCACACATACTGTTTCCACCCTGGTTTCTCCCCCAGATGTGGACGTGACTGGGCAGAACTGGACCTTCACGTTTGACTTCTCCTTTTTGAGCCAAGAAGAGGATCTGGTGTGGGCGGAGCTCCGGTTGCAGCTGCCCAGCCCTATGGACGTCCCCACTGAAGACCCACTCACCATAGACATTTTCCACCAGGGCAAGCTGGATCCAGAGCAGGACCCGGCTGACTGCCTGGAGCGCGTTTGGATGGAAACGTTCACCGTCACTTCTTCTCAGGTCACGTTTGCCTCAGGCAGCACAGTCCTGGAGGTGACCAAACCACTCTCCAAGTGGCTAAAGGACCCCAAGGCACTGGAGAAGCAGGTGTCCAGTCAAGCAGGAAAGTGTCGGCATCAGCCCCACACTCCGCCTGTCCCTGTCGCCAGCACCAATGTGCTCATGCTCTACTCCAACCGACCTCAGGAGCAGAGGCAGCTGGGGGGCGCCACTTTGCTCTGGGAAGCTGAGAGCTCCTGGCGGGCCCAGGAGGGACAGCTGTCTGTAGAGAGGGGCGGATGGGGCAGAAGACAGCGCCGACATCATTTGCCAGACAGAAGCCAACTGTGTAGGAGGGTCAAGTTCCAGGTGGACTTCAACCTGATTGGCTGGGGCTCCTGGATCATCTATCCCAAGCAGTATAACGCCTATCGCTGTGAGGGGGAGTGTCCTAACCCTGTGGGGGAGGAGTTTCACCCTACTAACCACGCCTACATCCAGGTATGATGCTTGGCCTAAAACAGGCTGCTAGACAGGGGATGGGGCGCAAGGTTTGCTGTGAGATAACTGGTCTGGTCATTCAAGCACCTCCGTGTTAGCTCCTGTGAGGACGTGGTGATGCATTATTACAGCGCGGAGTCCTGTTCCATGGGGTTACCTTGGGAGAGAGGACACTCCATCTCTCGCCCGCCTGCCCTCTCTCATATTCAAGGCCCAGGATGACCTTGAACTCCTGATCCTCTTCCCTTCACACCCCTAGTGCTGGGATCACAGGCATGCAGTACCACACCCTGTTGTTACAACACTGGGAATCAAATCCAGGACCTTGTGCATGCTAGGCAAAAGACTGAGTTGCATCCCCAGTTTTTCCCTGTTCCCATAATTAAGTGATGGGGAGGGAGGGAACAGAACAGAAGACCTCTGCTCCTCCAGCGCTGACACTCAGAATTTGGACTAGGCAAGTTTCCCACTCCGGCTCATTACTGTGTGACATTATGCTATTCACCGAAACCTGTCTTTTTTGAGGCCAGTAGCATATTTCACAGGCATGGTGTGGGGGTTTGTGAGCTGGTTGCATGTGTAGTATTCTATTTATTTATGAAAATAATTTGCTATTTTTGTACCAGAAGCTAAGTCTTCACTTTAGCCAGAAACAGTAACTCTGCCTTTGCCCCAGCAATGCAAACTGACCCCCCCCTCCTCCCTCCCTTTCAGAGCCTGCTCAAACGCTACCAGCCCCACCGGGTTCCTTCCACATGCTGCGCGCCGGTGAAGACCAAGCCGCTGAGTATGCTTTATGTGGACAATGGCAGGGTCCTCCTGGAACACCACAAGGACATGATTGTGGAGGAGTGTGGGTGCCTCTGACAGAGCCGAGGGGAGTGCTGAATTGGCTTGCACTCCACAATGCTGATGAACTCTAAGGAGACGCCATTGTGTCTATCCAGGGAGCAGAAACAGAAGAAGGGCTCTGCCTGCTGGAGCTAAAGAGGAAGGCCCCGCCCCCTGTGCATACAGGGCTCTTAGACCTGCCAAGCCAGAGGCTACTGTGGGAAGGCAGGCTGGGGAAGCCTTGTAGGGGCTGTCTGGCTGGACTCCCTGGAAATAGCGTTTATGAACTGCTTGAGATTTTGTGCAAAGGCTGGGGTATATATGTATTTATTTTTGAGGCCATTTGTAGCTTTCCTGTATTCTCAAAAGTGGTCTGTGGCCCGCTGTCCCTCCCTCAAGACTAGTATATATTAGATTAAAACTAGCCATTTGGCTCTACCTGCCTCAAGCTAGGCTAAGGGAGCCCCACAACTTTTCCGGCTGGCTGGTGGTGACATACTGGCCTTGGTCAGGGGCTCTCTGATCTCTATACTGAGTTGCCTAAACAATAAAGCCACTGTCCAGTTCTCCAGGGCCAGCTGGTGCCTTTGACCAGAGAGGTGGGCACTTGTCCAAGAGGGGACTGGCCATGGTGGACTTTAGAAGCCAGAGCCCTCAGACGTCTGCTTGGCAGACACAACCCAAGTCTATTAAAAGTCAATGACAATTCGCCTCCGCCTCACAATGTGTTTCTAGGGTCCTGAGGTTCCAATCCAGCAGGAGATGGGGTTGTGGCCATAGCTTTTGCAGAGGCTGTGTGAGGTTTGGGGAACTCACTGCCTGGCCTCCTCTAGAAAAACAAAAAGTAGGAGACCCTGGCAGATGTGGGAAGTACCTCTAGGAGGTTGTGAATGACTGTGGCTCAGTGGCAGACACTTATTTAGTATATGTAGGACCCTGGGTTAAACTCCAGCATGAAAAAGCCAGGTATAACAGTACATACCTTTAATTCCACCAGTTGAGGCAGAGGAAGGAGGCCTCTGAGCTCTAGGACAGTCAATGGACGGGCCATGGGTCTTCAACTGGATTGCCCTCTAGGCCTAATCCCATCTCTGAGTCTTTCAAGCCTTGAAGTTTAAGGTCTGTTAAGCCTCACCCTTGTTCGAACTCCAGCTTCTGCATGGCATCATAGAAGGAGGCTCAGACTGCTTTAGAAAGTTCTACCACTGAGACATCTGAGTACCTCTCTGTTGTTTTGGCAAGGTGAAGGGGCTGCTTTGGGGGGAAATGTAAGTCCGTAGGACATCCCTACCCCTTTCCGAAATGCTCACCTCTGCTTCAGCCTTGGCTGAATTGAGGCAGTAAAGCTGGTCCATGCAGAGACTGGGCTGGCTACAGCCTAGCCTGGGACTGAGAAAGCTAAGCCCAAGAGCACTGAGCAGAGCAATGGGCTCAGTCACCACAGGGCGCTGCCTTGGGTTTTGAGTCAGGATGCCTCTTTAGCCCAGACTGGCTTCAAACTCCAGGCGGTTCTCTCTTGCTTGCCTCTCAATCGCTGGGATTACTAACCTCTACCACCAAATGATTTGACTTTGAAAACAGCCTTATGAGGTCCACTTGTGTCTGTTGCTACCCCAGGAAGGCCTTGCGAATGTCACAGCGGAGCTGAGAGATCCAGGGAACCTGGATGGCATTCAGACCAGGCTAACCTAGCTTAGACCAAAGCGTTGACTTCCAGGACTCAGGTCCATTGTAGAGTTTAAGTTCTTGGAGGGAAGCAGGTGCCTACAGTTCCTACACAGCTAGCTGGACAGCAGGGCCAAAGGCCATGGCTATTTGTGGCTTCAGCTTGTGGGAGTGTTTATAGTTAGTTGTTCTGTGAACTTGGGACAAAGCTCCCCGGTGACAAGGCACTGCCCTATGTCAAATGGGGGATGTGGACACAAAGTGGCCACCTACACACTCTGATTGCGTTCACCATGCTGCCTGCAGGACCAGGGCTATCAGTTCCTAACAATGGTTCTGGATCTGGTCCATGGCTTGGCTGAAGGCCTTGGACATTCCAGAGGGCTGCCTCTGAGAACTGTCCTATCTGAATGTAGGCCTTCCAATAGTTATTTGCTCTTAAGGCAAAGGTCTGGTGTTCTGCAACTGCAAGCAGGGCCAAGAGGAAACAGCTGCCTTGCCCTCCCAGCGGGCAATACCAGAGAAAGACAGTAACTAGAAGAGAGAAAGCACGGCTGGGACCCTCTGCACCATAACCTGGGTTTATCTATACCTTAGGAACCCCCTTACAGGGGGCTGAAGAGATGGCTCAGCAGTTAAGAGCACTGACTGCGTTTCCAGAGGTCCTGAGTTCAATTCCCAGCAACCACATGGTGGCTCATAACCATTTGTAATGAGATCTGGTGCCCTCTTCTGGTGTGTGTGAAGACAGCAACAGTGTGCTCATATAAATAAGAAACAAACCTTATTACAGTAGGAAGATCCCATCCCCGAGAACCCACACATGAATGGGGGGCTCTCCACAGGCTGGTAAGTCTCTCAAACCCAGCTAAGCTTAAAGCATTGTTTTGATTAGTCTCACAGTGTAGCCCATGCTGGTCAGGAACCCATAGTCCTACCTACTGCCCCAGCCAAGTAAGGGAAGGGAGCATGTACCACTTGAGTTCTTTTACCAGAACCGGTTGTACTGGCACTAGGCATAGATGCTCCTGATCTAGAAACCTACAAAAGGATTTCTTCATCCTGATAAGAGACCAGAGGTTGAGAGAGCTAAGAATCACGCCGTGGGCAATAAACATCCTGAACAGCAGGGCTGGAACTAAGGCTGACCCAGCAACCAAATATCTACACTGTCTTTTCTTTTCTGTATATGAGCACACTGTTGCTGTCTTCAGACACACCAGAAGAGGGCATCAGATACCATTATAGCTGTTTGTGAGCCACCATGTGGTTGCTGAAAATTGAACTCAGGACCTCTGGAAGGGGAGCCAGTGCTCTTAACTGCTGAGCCACCTCTCTACACTGTCTTGACAAGGTAGGCCTCATTTCTCTGTGGACCTGTCCACAGAAAGAGAAGCCAGAGGCCAGGCTCCTGCAGAACAGCCTAGACTCTAGGACCTACAGTAAGGGCAGGGAGAGGCCACATGGGACTGGCACTGACTGAAGAGTCTCCTCGGATACCACCAAGCTCCTACCTACCACCACCTACACTCACAGGACCAGGACAGTGCTCCATTGGGGTAGACACACAAGGCAGCACACCCATTCTGCCTGGCTACTCCAGGCCAAGACTCGCCAAATGTGAATAACCCGCCACAGTGCACTGCACACTTCCATGGTTTTGTGTGTCTGATGCAGGCTGGCCTAACTCCCAGCAGTTTTCTGCCTTGGTCTCCTGCCAATTAGAATTACACACATGGTGTTTGAATTTTGAAAGAAAATCAATATACCAAGAGGCTGGGCATTGTGGTGGCATGCCCCTTTAATCCTAGCACTTGGGAGGCAGCGGCAGTTGCATCTCTTTGTGATCAAGGCCAGGCTGGTCTCCATAAGTTCTAGGCCAGCCAAGAGCTACAGTGAGGTCCTGTCTCAAAAACAAAAACATTAATACACCAACCTCAGGCTGTCTCCATGGTAGTTTGCCCTTAGCATATGAGAAATGAAGGTTTCAACAGCCAGCACCACAAACCACCACTAAGTCAGTATTCAAGGTCTTTATTTAACTGTAACAGCAACCGTTGGTGAGGATTTTTTTCCTAGTTCCAAACGCCTGCTTGTTTGGCAGGACAGTGAAAACAAACTGGTCATGGAATCACACACGGTCCTAGGATGGCATTGCTGACAGTGACTGAGAGGAGGTGGGAGGGACAGCACACCAGAGGAACAAAGGGAAAGTGCTGGCAGGCAGCCTCTGAAACCCCATCCCACATGGCTGGGATTGCAGCAGTGAGCAGGGAAGGGTCATCAGAAAACACAAAGATGCTTAAGATGGACAACCGGGCATCGGTGTCCTTGGAGGCTCTTCAAGTCACCTTAAGGATTACTGGAGATGCCCCACAGCCATTAAGTGGGGCAAAGGCATTGGCGTGAGCCTGTGTGGTCCCCATACCTCCTGCTGGTGTCCCCACTCTCCTGTTCTCCGATCATAACCCCAAGGTCAGGGCTGGACAGTTTTTAAAAGACTGAAATAGAAAGGAAGGGTGGGGTATAAAGGCAAGAGTGGGCATTCTGTGCTGGATTCACGGAGTCTGGGTCTGAAGCCCTGGCAGGGGCTCCCTGCAGAAACACCAGCACAGCTGTGTGTCTACCAGGCGTCCAGCCTCTCGATGCCTCCCACCTCACCAACGTGAACAGGAGTCTGCATCCACTGAGAACTATCTCAGTGCAGTAGGCTTTTTCTACTGGGCACACAGTATGGCCACTAGGGCTTCAAGAAGAGCTGAGCAAGCAGGGAGAAACCATGTGCCACCTGAAGACTGCCAACAGGCACCAAGTTCCAGAACCTGCCTAAAGGAAAGCTACAGTTTCAGAGGGTGGGGAAGGTATCTTGATTTGTCAACTGAAAAATGAGGACCTGTCGTCATCCTTATAGTCTTCAGTCACGTTTCTGTGACCTAGCCTCAAAAAGCCACCATGTTGAAACCCATTATCAGAGCAGGAAACACTGCTAAGCACTGAAGGACTGAGTCAACCGCAGGAACCCCAATTCCCATTACTAAAAGCTGAGAGGCTAGGGGTTGGAGGTAACCATGCCCTAATCCAAGTTCAGACAGAACCTTCTTCCCCAAGCAATGGTGTTCCCCCACTACAGGGAAGGTCCCACCTTCCTGTGATAAGGATGGGTCAGTGATTGAGTCTCGCAGATTAATAAACAGCCGCCGTGGACACGGAGTCAGAAAACACACCAAAGAACTTGAACTACATGAAGACAGAGGCGCCTTCCTTCTAGGGGGAGGGGAAGGGTTATGGCACAACTCCCTCAAGCAGCCAGTGCTCAAGATGGAGATGGGAAGGTTCTTTCCCTGATAAATGGCTGCCAACACTGGGGCCTTGTACACGAGCTGGCTGGCTGGCTGGCCTTTCAGTGGAACCCAACTGAACCGTGAAGGTCTGAGAAGCCCAAGAAGACAGTACCCAAACCATCCTCTGCCCTCCTCAGAGCAGAAAGAAACCCCCATCCACTAGTACTTCAAGTACACACTAAAGCAAGTATGACTACAGGAAAGACACTGCTAATGAAGGACAGCACACCAATCCCAACAAGAGCTTCCACCTAAGGATGGTGAGACGGGCTACATCCTATGAGATCCGAGGCACTGGTGGGCTACCTCAAGCTTCTCTTACAGGTTCTTTTAAGAGCACACTTCCAACAAGGCACCCAGGAGGCAATCTGCTACTCTGCACACTGCACTGACCAGGCCAGTCATGTGCACTCTCAGGTGTTCCTGGCGTATGGAGGGAGAAACTGCTTCTGGACAGGAGACCCTAGCCAATGCACCGACTCACGGGGTACCTGGCTTTGATACCATTGTCAGAAGGCAAAGGGAACTAACTGCTGCTTGTTCTGCAGCTCAGAAACCGAACATCTAACAGCCTGTTACCTGCCTGACACGCCTCCTCCGGTAAGAAGGCTTGTGTAGCTAGCTCCACAGAAATGCCCCCAACTTCTTTAGTCAATTCTCTGCTAAAGGGAAACAGAAGGGGTGAGCAGTGCTTAAAGAGAACGCCTCAGAGACTTGCAAAGCAAACGTCCTTGAGAAGATGGCAGTTGAGGATGCAGATCTGGAGATCTTCATTTCCTGCCATCTCTCCCTAAGACAAGCAGGTAGAAGTCTGTCTTCTATCCCAGTTTGGTCCCAGCTAGAGGGCTGTTCTGATAGCAATGTGCACCTAGCTTATGGCTGTGACTGCCTCCACCTCCCTTATCTCCTGTTTTCTTCCTTTTACGGCGTGGTGATTAAAGGCACTGCAACTTTCTTCTTCCACCTCCTTCTCTGGGATCAAGCATTCAGGAGGAAGTAGAATGCTCCCACACAGTCTACCCCAGAGACCCATGGGGGGTGGGGGGAGTGACCAAGTAAGAGATTCTGATGGCCACAAAAAAAAGTAGAATTCTCCAGCTCCAGCAGAGAGCAGCCCCTGCCCACACCCTACCTGTGTCTTCCCAAGAGCCTATGCTAAAGTCTCCGTGCTCAGCAGCTCCTGACACCATCCAAGGAAGCTCTTACCATTGCAGGTAATTTTCTACACAGCAACAGATAACTCACACAAGCAGGACAGAACTCTTGCCAGCTTTTCTTCTCCTTTGCCCCAGAGAAGGCAGTACCTACTTCAGCAGAACAGGAGGGCCGGGAGCTCGGAGGGGGGAGCACTGCTGGGCCCTGGAGGGAGGCTTTTCCTCATGAAGGCTGTTGTCCCCACAACAGAGAAAGGGCACAGTCAGTCACTAAGATGTTAACACCAGTCTCACTCAAGGGGGGTGGGGTAAGGGTGGGGGACGTCAGGCTCCAGCTGTGAGGCTCTGTACACACCCAGAGGTAAACCCCAAAATGGACTCTGCTTACTGGAGAATGGCTCACGTATAAAGATGCCATCATTGGAAGCTTCTTTCTTGTCTTGTGCAATCATCTTACAATGCTGGCTTATGGAGGTCAAAGAATGGATAGTGGCGGCCTTCAGACAAGGCTGGAAGGCTCCTGCACCACGCAGGTGACACTCTAAAGACTACTAGAACATGTCCATTGATTGAGGGAAGAGGAGGTGCACATGCATACTCCCCCAGATGGCAAGAAAAGGGAAACAGTTCCTTGCTCTGCGTCCATGTCTCAGATCCATTCCCAGCTGTGGTCCAGGTGGAAGGCGCTCTGCTGCAGACAGTCATTCAGTGAGAAGCGGGTGCCCTTCTCTCATACCCTCCTCACTTCAGCAGGATTCAGAGTCCACAGGAGGCACCGCCAGTGTGTGAAGAATCCTGAGCCTTGCTCCTCAAGAATCAAGCTCCCAGGTATGAATGAGGTCCTGAACAAGCTTCTTAGCCCAATGATAGCACAGCTTACATTTTTCCAAGACTCCATAGGAAATGAAATTTGGAGTTTAATTAAAAACACAACAGATACATTTAACAGAGAAATAAAACTCTTGTGATTATCACCTTAGAGACTCCAAGAATCCCCAAGCATTGGAGACCCCCAGCTTATTCCTGAGACAGCGACCGTCACAGAGGGTTGCACTCCGAGCTATTCACATTGTGTAGCAGAAAAACAGAACCCAGGTCTGAAGACGTCCTTTCTTTGTCCTCAAGTCTTCACAAAAGAGGGTCTTTCCATGGTACAAAACAAAAACAGCTTTCTTTCCCAGCCAATGGGGACCTGAAACCTGACTAAGAGGGCTTAGTATAGGCATCCAATACAACCGGAAACTCCCAGGGCACCCCTGGTTGCTTTACTGTCTTCCTTTTGGAGACTGGATGGATGAGGCTGTCTGTCCGAAGCCTCTACTGGGATCTCCATGAGGACCCACAGTACCAGGAGAGTGGGATGGGGGGGGGGTTGGGGGAGAGGGGTGAGAGAAGGAAGGGAGGGGAAGGGAGAGAGAAGGATAGGAGAGGAGGGGAGAGGAGAAGAGTTTTCTTCAACAGCTCATGGCAAGGCAGACTGGTCCAGTTTCACAAAACACCCATTCTACACTCCAGATAGCCCCCAAAACTGGAGGGCACAGGAAGGCGCTCAGAAGGAGCTATGGGAAACAAAGGACAGTGACAGTAACGGACCTGCCTACAAACATTGGGTTTTTTTGTTTTTTGTTTTTTAATAACCTTCCCAATACTGGAAGATGTTTTGTTAAAAAAGTTGTAGTTCAAAATTGTACTGAAAACTTATCTAAAAATAGGTCTGTAGTCATCTTAAAAATAAAAGGTCTCTCCTCTGATAAGGAGAGACAGATATTAATCAGATACCAACATGGGAGGCATCTCTGATTTGGAAAATGGCCCAGTGGAAGAACCAGAAGGGAAGAGAGCGAGGGGAGAGAAGGACAGATGGACGATGGGAAGGGCAAGACCCAGGAGGAACCACTGTCTCAGTCTGCACTTCTCTCTCGGCAGCCAAGCACAAAGCAGACCCACAGAGGGGACAGACGCAGGGGGAAGTCAACTCTAAACTCAAGATATAGTATCCTGCAGGACATCAAACCTACTAAGGTGCACCAGGTTTTAAAACCATGACCACTAAGGCTGGCTGCACCGTGCCTCAGTCCTCTTCAGAGGCCACTGATAGATTCTCAGTTGGACCACTGTGACCAGGCTGTATCCACCAGTGGAGGCCAAAGCGTTGGCACTTCTGCTCTGGGAGCAGACAAAAGTCATGGGGTGTGACAGGGTGGAAAGGACTCTGCCTACAGGATGCACTTAAGAAAGAATGTCAGACAGGCAAAGACCAGCTGGTCACCAAGGGGTCCCTTCAGGAGGGCTTAAAACAATACCCGTGCCAATGAATTAGGTAAAGGAATGGGGGGGGGGGAAGCTATCACACCCAAGACAAGACAGAAGCCTTCCTCCCAGAGAAAAGGGAAGCTGGTGTCACATGTCCCAGGAATGCAGCTGGAGGTGCAGGAGGTACAGGAGCTGTGCTCAGTGCTGAGGACAAACGCCCCCATCCCCCCCTACAGCCAGCACTGAATCAGCAGTAGGCTACAGGGAAGGACAGAGAGAGCCCAGGAACAGCAATGGGCACTAAAGAGCCTTCACCCCCAACCCTGCAAGCAGAGGTGCTGCTTGGAGACCGTCCTAGACTTGGGGGCAAGTCTCAATAGGGCAGGAAGATTCTTGGGAAATGACCAGGGACGCTCCAGGGACTGCCTTCCACTGTGGACTTTCCTCTGTGGACCGCTCAGCTCCACACAATCGTCCATGGGCTTCTTCACCAACCTAACCTTAACTGGGCAGAGGGCAGGGGACAGGAAGATGTGCTCAGACGGAGAACATCTCCCATTATTTGGCACCCAGAGGGGGACAGGGGACTGGAGCTTCTCTGTACGCTGTGTTCCTACTGGCCCAGTCAGATGCACACAGCCTCCTTCGACACCGCAGCACAGTCAGATGTCCATCTCAAACTGAGCCTCATCCCCTGGTTAGAAGGAAAGAAATGTAAGTTTAGTACAAAACGAAACACCAAAGCAAACCACATCTTTCTCAACCTGCGAAGGGCCAGACGAACACACCCTTTCCCACGCGCTCTGGCCTCAGACACCTGCTCCTGCGTGCAATGTTTAATTAACAATTAAATTCAGTATTTAAATTTGAGGTGAGCCGCATATTTGGTGCTGAGACCCTGTCTCAGCACTAAACACCTCACTTATTTTCTTTGTGTGTGTGTGTGTGTGTGTGTGTCTATTTCATCTGGGGTGGGTGTGGAGAGAAGAGAGGTCACACCGGGAAGGTACAAGGGGATCTTTCCAAGTGCAAGGAACATTCTTCTGAGGCTGTGAACTCACAATTGCAGTGGGTGATGGCGGCTTACACCCTAACTCAGGCACACAGGAAGCTGAGGCAGGAAGACTGCTGCAAGGCTGAGGCCAATCTGTCAGCTTGGCCAAGACTGAGACCTCAGCTCAGAAAAAGCCAACCGGACAAAACCAAACAAAAACCTCAACTAGAGCTGCAGCGAGCATGAAGCACAGAGACTGAGGTGAGTGAGAGGCCAGCTCGCCTCACCCCAGTACAAACAAACAGCCCCCTAATATAAAACACTCCCTTCTCCCTCTCCTCCCCCTCTCTGTCTCCCTCCCTCCCTTCCTCCCTCCTTCCCTCCCTTCCTCCCTCCCTCCATCCCTCCCTTTCTCTATCTCTCTCTCTCACAGATTTCTCTGGGTTGCCCTGGTGTCTTGGGCTGGCCTCAAACTCAGAGATCCCTCTGGGATTAAAGGTGTGAGCCGCCAGCACCAGGTCATGTTTCCTTTCTAAGGCTGGTGGGTGTATGTGTGCATGTGCATACTGGTTCATTCAAGGAAGTTGAAAAGGCGGCATGTGTATAGTCATATCTACATAAGAGCGATCCCTAGAAAGTAAAGCCGCCGGCAGACATGGTTCTAATGTATTTCTGAGTTACCACTCTGATTTGCTTTCTAAAAGACATGGTCCACCTATGTAGCCCTGGCTGCCTCACAACCATCTGCTTGTTTCTGCACAACCTACAGACTACTGACAGTCCACCCAGTGTCCTTCCTCACCAACTGCGTGCTTCCTGTCATGATTGTTCAGGCTGTTCAAGTTGCTCACTTCTACTTTGGAGTCTTCGATTAAGGCGCCAGGACTGGTGACTCCAGGGATGTTGGGCAGATGGCAAGGTGGGGTCTGCGCCATGGGAGAATTGCGACGGTCCAACAGAAACTTTCGGTCATAAATGATTCGTGTTCCTGAAAAACAGAGAATTTCAAATAAACGAAGGCACCAACACAAGGCCACAGAGGCTGGCTGCACCATGGCTCAGTCCTCTTCAGAGACATTCTCAGGCGGACTGATGTGATTAGGCTGTACCCATCAGGTGCAGGCCAGTGCTGGCACTTCTGCTCTGGGAGTCGACAGAAGTCAAGGGATGTCCCATAGTGAAGAGGACTCTGCCAGCAGGATGCAGAAAGAAAAATGGCAGACAGGCAAAGGCCAGCTGGCCACCAAGGAATTCCTTTAAATACCACATAATTCTTAAAAGGCGTCAACTCTGCCAAGAGCAAAACCCTCTTCGCCATGAGCAGGGTTGGGTGCTCTGCCCCTGGGAAACACTCTTACTGGTTCTTCAGCACCACTTTCTCCAGGAAGCTATGCACCCCCCCGTCATTCTTTCTGTTCACTCAACACATTACCTCACCTCCCACAGGACTCCTGCCATGTGCCAGCCAGTCTACAGACTTCAAACTCCACAAGCCAGCACTTCTGTATTTACCACCAATATCCTAACATTTCAATCTTCAAAACAAAGTTGCTTCTTTCTTTTTCTCCTCCTACTCCTCCTTTTAAAGAAATTTAACCTGGGTTGGGGTTTTCGATCTAAATCTTGTTTCAGCTACTGACCTACTAGACCAATAACTTAACCCTCAAAGAGTTTTGTTTTTCATTTAAAAAAAAATTCACATTTTTATTTTATGTACATTAGTGTTTTGCCTAAATGTGTATCTGTATGAGGGTGTTGGAGGCCCTGGAACTGGAGTTACGAACAGTTGTGATACGCCATGTAGGTGCTGGGAATTGAACCCGGGTCCTCTGGAAGGGCAGGCTCTTAACTGCTGAGCCATTTCCCCAGCCCCCATCAAGGCAAACTTGAAAGAATAAGCAAGAATAAACAAGTACGTGAAAAAGCAGACAATACCGTCTGTTGAAGACCACCCAGAGAAGCTTGCAGGCTGACCTCCTCCCTAGAAAGACAGAACACCATATTCCTTTAAATAAGGACCTGAAGGCTGCCTTAGCAGGTGGAGGCACTTGCTGCCAAGCCTGGCCATCTGAGTTCGATATCAGGATCTCATATGCTGAAAAGAGTCTGGAGAGTCCAACACTCTGTCCTTTTTAAAAACAAGATTTATTGTTAATTTCCATGAGTGTTTCGCCTGCATGTATGTGTGTGTGTGCCGAATGTACCAAGAAGTCAAGAAGCACTAATGTCCTGGCACTGGAGATACTGATGTTAGGGACCATCTGGAAACAGAACCCAGGTCCTCTTGAAGAGCTTCCAGTGCTCTCAAGCACTGAGCCATCTCTCCAGCCCCAAAAGTGTCCTTTGACCTCTGTACACACTACAGAAAATATGAGCCCATGACACACACATTAAAAAAATAACATGTGGTAAACCAAACACCCGACTTCCAGTCAGTCACCTGAGGCTTTGTCGGCTACATATTACACAGGGTCCATGCTACCTGACAGAAGCAGGAAGGCCTGATGCTCTTACAAGTTGTCTTCTAGGCACAGGCCTGATAATCTCTGAACTTGAGACTGAGGCAGGAACTGCCAAGAGTTCGAGGCCAGCCTGGACTATGGCACAAGACCTCTCTCAATGTCTCCTGCTAAAAATAAAGAAATACACACCCGAAGTTCCCAACTCAAGTTGAAACAGGCAAATTAAGAGAATATATCTTCAGATCTTCAGAGAAACACAAATCAGTATCACAGGAGATGAGTGCTGTCCAGGGTAGGGAAAGCGATGTATTTGCTGGTGCAGCTCAAGGGTAAAGGCATGATGGAAAATGGGATTTCAAAGCAGCATTTCTATAGTCTGTCCATCCTACCTGGAGCTAGCTCCAAGGAAAGGAAATTAGTAGCTCAGAGAGAGAGTTACAGAGATACTCATAATGTCAAATTCATGGTCTGTCAGAACTGCTGGGGGTGGGGCTGGGGTACAGGAGAACTGCTACCAGTAGGAGGTAAACCTGGGCTACATGTAAGTTTCAGATCAACCTTCTATAGGAAAATATAAGAATGAGAGGTTGTCTCAAAAACCAATAAACCAAGCCAGGTGCAGTAGCACATGCCTTTAATCCCTTGGGAGAAACTTGGGAGGCAGGTGCATCTATGAGTTCAAGGCCACCCTGGTCTACAGAGTGAGTTCTAGGACAGCCAGAGCTACACAGAGAAACCCTGTCTTTAAAAAATGAAATCCAGGGACTGGAGAGATGGCTCAGTGGTTAAGAGCACTGACTCTTTCTCCAGAGGTCCTGAGTTCAATTCCCAGAAACCACCATCTGCAATGGGATCCGATGCTTTTTTTTAACAAAAATTTTATGTGTATGAATGTTTTGCCTGTATGTATGTATGTATGTATGTATGTATGTATGTATGTATGTATGTAATGTGTATGCCTATGGATTATTGTGAGTTGCTACATGGGTGATGGCCACTGAATCCTGATCCTCTCCAAGAACAGCAAGCACTCTTAACTGCTGAGCCATCTACCCAGCCCCCACATCATTTTACTCTGTGAGACACAACCTCCCTATGCAGCCCTGCTGGCCTTCGACTCGTGTCCTCCTGCTTCAGCCTTCTAAAGGCTGCGATTACAGGTGAGCACTCAACACCCAACTCAATTGCCTTTTTTTTTTAAATGATAGAATGTATGTATATACATGAAAAGGCATGTATATGTCAGCGGTCTTTTCTTATTTCTTCCTTTTAAAAAAGTTTTATTAGCGGGCGGTGGTGGCGCATGCCTTTAGTCCCAGCACTTGGGAGACAGAGGCAGGTCGATTTCTGAGTTCGAGGCCAGCCTGGTCTACAGAGTGAGTTCCAGGACAGCCCGAGCTATACAGAGAAACTCTGTCACCAAAAAAAAAAAAAAGTTTTATTTATTTATTATGTATACAGCGGTCTGCTTGCATGTGTGCCTGCAGACCAGAAGAGGGCATCAGATCTCATTTCAGATGGTTGTAAGCCACCATGTGGTTGCTGGGAATTGAACTCAGGGCCTCTGGAAGAGCAGCCAGTGCTCTTTAACTTCTGAGCCATCTCTCCAGCCCTGTCAGGGATCTTTTCTGTTCTCTCCTACCATGTGGGACCTGGGGATTGAACTCAGATCATCAGGTTTGTTGGAGCAACAAAATTTCTTGATAGTACATTCAAATCCTGTCTTCTAACTATGGCTACATAATAATCTAATGTGCTGTTATAATTATATTCATGTAAGCGACAGGGTAGAGGTCCTTCCTTTTCTGAGGTTTTGCTGAGTTTTCAAAGTGCTAAGCGACAATGTCAAAGATTTCCTGAGTTTTCAATAACTTGCACAAGGACAGCATGGTTTCCATTCATCATCAGTTACTGTTGAGCTCTTGCTGTCCCACCTTACAAATGAGGCTCACCACAGGGTCTATCTCCAGCACCTGGAGCGCCCTCTGAAACCCACCCCTGGGTGGGTCAGGGAGATGTCAGTGATGTGTGCTCCACATCTGTTCATCTCAGCAGCTGACTGACATATGGCAGCTACAACACCTTAACCGTTAGGAATGACACTGATTTAAGATCTAGATATCCATGTACAGGTTATGGTGTGGACAGCCATTCTCCTGGAACACGCCCCAACACGGAATGGCCTAGTCACATGCTAACCCATTGCAGAACTGCTGCTTTCCAAATGACCCCAGACTCCACACCACACCCCAGTCGGCAGTGGGAAGGTTCCAGTTTCACACAGTGTAGCTGACACTGTGAAGACTTCTTCCAGGCCACCCTAACTGACATGAAGCCACTTCCCCTGTCCTGACTTACTCTGCTTCCCGATGGCTAGGCCAGCCCTGCTCCTCATGTGCTTACTGGCTTTTCCAATACTCAAAGCTTTGGAAACAGGTTCCAGATCTGACTTTTTACTGTATTTTAACAGTCCTTTACACACACACACACACACACCCCACATCTGACTTTTTACTGTATTTTAACAGTCCTTTACACACACACACACACACACACACACACACACACACACACACACACCTGAGGACTGAACCCCACGGTCTTGCTTATGTTAGACAAGTGTTCTACCACTGACTAAATCTCCAGCTTATTCTTTATAGTCTGAGTATAAACACACATATACACACAATTTGTAATTTTTTTGCATACACACACACACACACACACACACACACACACACACACACACATATATATATATATATCCATCCCCTTGATGGTTCTCTAATCTTTCCCACCTCTATCTCCCTCCCCACGTCCTGAGAATTGAACCCAGGGGCATGTGTTATATGATACCATTCTTTGAGGCATAAAGAGAATTTTTAAAGATTTACTTATTTTATGTATGAGTACACAGTAGTTGTCTTCAGACACACACCAGAAGAGGGCATCAGATCTCATTACAGATGGCTGTGAGCCACCATGTGGTTGCTGGGAATTGAACTCAGGACCTCTGGAAGAGCAGAGGTCTTAACCACTGAGCCATCTCTCCAACCCCATAAAGAGAATTAAAAAAAAAAAAAAAAGTTTCTAAATTTCTGGCTGCCCCAGAACTTACAGTAACCACCATTGTCCCTTGCTCTCCCCCACTCCCCATACACTTGAGTCCTAAATGCTGGGCTCAGGCCCTGGCACTTGTATGAGATCCAATTTATATTTGTTGTTCTGCTTGTGCTTTTGATATCAAGTCTAAGAAATGACTTAATCCAAGATGCACCCTGCTGCCTGCTCTTCTAGGAGCGCTACCTGTGAACTGTGGGTCCACACCCACAGTTGTACTGTAGGCACTGACTGCTGGAAAGAGGTCCCAGTTGAATTGCTGTGGCAGCTTTACTGGGGAGAGGGGGAGTGGAGGGGAAGGGGGAGGAGAGCACAGGTGTGCTTGTGAGTGTTGGGCAGTCCTGGCCTCTCAATTCTTTCCCACTAATACACATGCAAATGCAAATCACAAGTTTTGAAATCAGGA